GCTTTCTCTGTCACAGGAAAGGCTGAATGAGAGCAGGGGATGCTTGCTCCTGAAATTTATGAGACTGACATCAAATATCTTTCATACACTGCAGAAAGAAAATACAACAAATCACTGACAAAGCTGAAGTCTCTGGATATTCTTTTATCCTTCTGCACCTGTGGAAAGTGTCTCCAAGGCAATATGACCACTCAGTCATGAGAAAATCACTGTGTTTAATTCATTCTAGAATACAAGTGTTACCTCTATATAGTTGCATTGAATATGATCACACAGAATAAAGTCCTCAATCACTATTATGAAAGACTGAGTAGATTTTCCTCATGTTTTTAGAAGTGATTTATTCAGCTCCTCAAGTGTACTACTTGGACAAGTGCTGTAACGGCTTGGATACAGGCTGATGCAGGCATTAAAGAAGTTTTGCTTGAAGGGGCAAATCAGTTAAGTACCTGAAATGTGATACAAAGCTGCCATGTGACTTGTGCATACCAGTGTCAAACTTATATTACCAAGAGGAAAGGAATTAAAAAGCAAGCCACTCTCTAAGCATGTAGGTCTCCAACCTTCCCCTGTGTGTGATCTGCTTAAGGAGATCCTCCACCACTTCCAAGCCTTGTACTTTCAAGCAGAGTTTTTAAAGTATTTAGGATTATGAAGGTGCAGTCAAGTGTCTAATAGGATTTCTACAGAGATTCTGAAATCTGACTCCAATCCAAAAACCAGCAGGTCCTGCACAGAAAACCGTTTTAGTCAATCACTAGCAGCAGATTGAAGGTTCAAATATCTTTGGAATCTCATTATCAGCTCTAGAACAGTGAATCCTGATGCACAGCAATGCCTACCATGGCTAAGTTACCATTATAGACAGTGGTCAACAGTGTAGAAAATTATCCACGGTGATCAACAAGTAGAAAAATCAGCTGTTGAATGGGCTGAACTATCCTTGCAGTCGTCTTTTCCTGCTTGAAGGATTAGAGAAGTAACATGGGCTGGTAAGGCTCAAACTCCAGTGACTCAGTTCAGTGTTTGAAGCTGGGTAAAATGAATAGCCTAGAGACTAGTCAGAGAGTTTATCACTATTTCTGTCTTATCACAACGGGTTTACCACCGAACACTGACTTACCATGGCCACAAGTCAAGCTACTGACTGCCTGCAGGAGAAGATGAACAGTCTTGAGCTTAAAGCATGGGTTACATTTTGTTTCTGAGTCTGCCTCAGCTTCATTTTATGATAGTAGGAAGTAATTTAGGGTTGGATTTTATAATTTGAGAATTTCACATCAAAAGGCAAACTGCAATACATTACTCTATCTCAAGACATTTATAACAACGGTACCCAACCATCCAAAATCATAGAACGTGTGGGCAGGTAGCCAATAATGACTCACAGCTGCATAAACATGTTAGGGAAGGAGTACAACCCGTATCAGCACAAGGATCTGCAGCCTTACATATCCAACAAGCAGGAATTGCTGCAGCAACCTTATCATATGTCTACAGCAGGAGCAGCCAGACGAAGGGGTATCAAGAAGGCAGGAATTTCCAGAGCAACTCTATTGCAGATGCTGGGAAGGTAATAAAGCCAGTAAGGGCTGTTAGCCTCAACTTTCAATACCTACATGCATTCGTCTTCTCAACCTCTCAACCATAAGGTCTTTGGAAAGATGTGCAGGAGGTGCTTTTGTACAGGTCTGAACACAGAAAGAAGAAAGCTGTTCCCTGAGAAAAGATCAGGCATATATGTATGCACGCACATATAGTTTCAGGGTGTTTTGCATCCCTGTTCAACTGGCACAGCACTAGTTTTAATACAGAGTTCTTCACCATCATTTCCCTCAGGACTACACCATGAGCTTATAGAGGTAAAATAATGCTTAACATGACCTGGGCTGTTGCGTTTCAGCATCTATGTGCAAAAACAGTAACTGCAAATGAGAGTCAGGCAGGATTTCTGAAAGGCATCTGATGTCAAGCAAACCTGACTGCTCTTTAATGAAAGTATCTACCACTACAGAATCTAAATGGTCCACAGGCTTGCAGTGTGCTTCAAGCTAGCATACAAAGGAACAATAAAAAGAACTACAGTGGACCTCAGGAAGCTGCAGAAAGCCAATTTTCCAGCTAGAAACATCACAGATGGGATCGAGGAGCAGTGGGGTGACCTTTCTGCAGTCTCTGTCTAACAAGACAAAGGAGAGCTGGGGAGCCAAGAAGCAGCAGTTGCTGAAAGCCAGGAGGATGAAAAGGGATGAGGTCTTCAGAGGGGAGAGGAAAAACTCACTGAAGTTCATAATTTATTTAGGTATCAGACTTCACTGTTGCTTTTCCATATTACACTTAAGATAATGTATACTTCTCATGCATGTGTTCAATAGGAATTTTTGCAACAGGTGGGATTAGTTCACGCAACACTTAGGAAATATTTTTTCCCCTTGTTCCTGACAGCAGCACATTTTGATTTACAACCTTACTGAAACAGTGGTTTTATTATGAAAAAAATTACCTCATCATTTTGTGTAGTTTTTTTGTAATGGTTTTTAATAAAGCGTGTGAATAATCTAGGAAGTGTGGCTACTGTTCTAATTTTTTAAAAGCTTTCTCTGGGGCTTAGGAACATACCACTGGGGTTCATTTTCTGTAGATATTTAAATGATGGGATTTAATTACTGCAATTATTCATGGAAATTGATTTTCAAAGTTGCACATGTGAATGTTCACTAGAGTCAGATCTAAAATATGCACATCAGGATTTATGATCAAAATCCTTAACCAGTTAGAGACCAGAGGCACACGGCTTACCTGTTCAATGACAGTTAAGTTACACTGCTCACCTCCTGAGTATTTGCAATCAAACAAACAAAAAAGCAACCCCAAACAAAACAATGAAAAGATTCTTTCTGTTTGAACAATTAATAACTCTCAATGAAACTTCAGCCTGTTGAAGGATGTTCAACAAAAAAACCCCACAACCTTGATTTTCCTGATTTCAGTGACCAAATTATTTGTAAGTAAATATTTGATACACTTGAGACACTTTCTTTATATTTTCTAGGTGTCCAAGTGTTACCTCTGTAATTAAAGTATATTGGTGAAACACCCTCTCTCACTTTCTGCACTGTGTACTTCTGCCTGCCAGCACAGTCAACAGTATAGCAGAACCTTATTAATCCACCAAAACAGTTCTAATAGCTTAAGTATGCTGCCAACTTCCCACAAACTACCAATGTAGTTACCCTGAGAGAAGGCTTTTGTGTCTACAAGTTATTTCCAGCCCACCTTCCTCTTGATGGAAGGACAAGAGGAAATGGCCTCAGGCTCCACCAGGGCAGGTTTAGATGGAGCTGAGGAACAATTCCTGCCCCAGAGGGTGCTCAGGCATTGGAATAGGATGCCCAAGGAAGGGCTGCAGTCACTGTCCCTGCAAGTGTTCACTGAACATATAGACAAGGCCCTCAGTGCCATGGGTTAGTGGTGGCCTTGGCAGTGCTGGGGTAAGAGTTGAACTTAAGGATCTTAAAGATCTTTTTCAATCTTACCAATTCTGTGATTCTGTGATGGTAGTGGCTATCAGAGGTCCCAGGAGCAAATATATTCACTGGTCATTTAATACATAAAGAAAAAGAAACACCGAGGCTTCAGAAACCCCAAAACATTTCTCCTTTTGTTAATCAAGACATTCCTAGTGAGAACTAACCATTGGGAACTCTATAGATTTCAGCTGTGTAGGCATCTCCTTAGCTTTTGCCAAAGCCAAAGAACATTGGTCTTGATAGCTCTGACGATCCAATTTCCTTTTCTAGTACTCCTGGGACAACAGTGGTTACAGAACGAACTGAAAACTCATTAAGGATATGAAACAATTTAAAATAGGCTTTGGAGAATTTAAATCCCTTTGGAATACATATTAAAAAATATATTGCATTTAATCCTGACCAAGAGTTATTAGACACACGTTCATTACTAATAGCTTTTATCTTTATATTCCACCAAATTCCTTCCATAGTCAGGCATCCTTCCATTTTTTCAAACTCAACTTGCACTTGCATGAAACATTACCAAATCTGCCTTTTTCTGTAGGACCCACAAATAGTTGGAGTGTTTATGTATGACTGCTTGCAAAAAGCTCCATTATGAAATTCACACCTGAACATAAAGAGGCTGTTTGATGAAGTAACAGTAAAAATGGTTTATTTGTCTCTTCAGTTTCCCTAAGGAAAAAGTGAAAAGGTTGGATGATGCAGTTTCATGGTGCTATAAAACACAAATTCCACAGCAAGCTGTCCCCAGGTATTAGAGAGTTTTGGTCCTATAGAGTTGAGATAACTAGTCTAGCTGTGTACCTCATGCACCACGTTAAAGCATCTTTCTGTAATCCTGTAATCTGTAATATCTGATCTTTCACAGATTGCTAAGCAGAAAACTTACCATTTTTACCTGGAATGAAACTGCTAAAGAAGAAATGACATGAAACCATTAAACTTTCTGACTTCCTTTAAATTCTGAATTGCTTTACCAGTGCTAGAAGAGCGGTCCATCACCAGTGGAAGGATGCAGGTCCCTGCATACCATGCTGAGAATTCAGATGAACTATCAGGAAGGCTTTGCCATGAATAATGAATAATCATCTCTCTCTCGGCACCACTTTGACAGACACAAAATAGGAGTTTTGCAATTGCCATTAATTCAGACATGGTGGGGGGCAGCCCAGGGAATAACATCTTTAGGTCCAGCTCTCTGCACAAGTGGGAGTCAGCATTAGGAGCACACGACTTAATAAGATCTCCTGAATAAAATGAGGATTTGATCAAAGAAGTTTGACATGCTTGAGAGTATCCAGAGCTTTGAAGGTGAGACCAAACGTGAAATGGAATGCAGAAGCAGTCTAAGAAAGCAGCATACAAAGGAAGCACCATTGACAGCCTGAAAATAAGCTTACAAAACCAGCACAATCTCAAAGCAACATCTTTTCATGACATGAAATAATGAAAGCAATTACTTACCCAAGTTTTCAATGGAATAATACCGCTGTTTACTGTCCACCCTCACAGTCTCAGCATACGGACTGCCTACACCATAGCCAATGATGTACCCGCGGACGACAATGTTTGGGTTCAATGGTGGAGTCCAGCTCATGACAATACTGGTTGTCAGGGGCCTGACATGAAGAGAGCTTGGCTGGTCAGGAACCTGAGATTCTGGGATTTGGAAAAGGAAAAAAAAAAAGATAAAAGAGTAAGTTCACATTCTGCTCAAGGTTTGAGTTTAAATTAAAACATTTGCACAAAAACCCCAACCAAGTGCCCCAGAGTTACATGCAGAGCTCATGCAATTTCGTTTCTGAGCTGCATCTTCCCCTTCCAAGGCCACTAATATGCCTCAGCCTGTTTAGCCACAGTACCTTGTACTACCTTTCACCTTTAGCATAAGGCTACAAGCAGGATCTAAAGTGCTGCAGGAAATGAAAGACGACTTGCAAAAGAATTTCCAGGAGGATAACTTTTCCCTGCTCTATTTGCAAGTTCAGCAGGATCCTGACAGCTGATTGCATGAATTGCTCACAAATTTTATTTAAGAAAAAAGGTTGACTTTGCTAATGATAGTCCAGTATATTCTGGAAATAATTTGTGTCTTTCCTATGAAAACAAGAAGTGACTTGCACTCTTAGACATGCAACTCTTGCTTTGAAGCTGCTTTAAATAATACACCAACATTTCAATAATGAAATAATAGAACCAGATACTTTATTTACAGGTATTCCCAGGTAAAATTCAGTACATTAAGTAGTAATTAATCCCTTGGATTCTATTAGCCTCTTACAAGCCTGATTTTCCTGTTAAGGGTAAATGATGAGTAAATGCCTTTTGTTTGAGTTTACCCGAGAACTACCATATCACAAGTCTCTTCAGAGGAGCTGCACAGTCACTTGTCTTTTTGAGAGCAGAAAGAGACAAGTTACTATTTTTCCCCAATAAAAAGGCTTGCAATATAATAGGTGAAAGCTTATATGGAAGGCAACAAGGACAGGGTAGAAAAAAAAGCAATACTATAAAATGATGTAAACTCCAACAAAAGACACTTCACAGTTGTGAAGCATTCCCACTATAAACCTTGGAAAAGGTAATATAAAGAAGAATTAACACTTTTCAGTAAGGAGTGCCATACATGCATTCTTGGCATTTTATGTGCTTTCAGGTGAATTCTTAAGAACACATTAGAGTACTCAGAAAAACCATTGCACCTTCAGAGATGTCTGATTAGTACATTACCAGTCTGAAACACTTAAGCAACTTTAGAGGCCTTTTGCGTTCAACTCCTTAAAATTGCAAAACATTGGTCTTGTTTAAAAGATGAAGAAAATTCACTGAAGACGAGCTACTCACAAAAAGAAACAGATTGCACCAACAGTGCCACCGTAAGCCAAGTGAAGTTGCCATTTACCCCCAGCCCAGTACCAATCTTTCTTTTAATGCAAAAGTTACTTGAGCAGCTACTCCTGAGCAGTGCTGTTTGAAAAACAAATTACAGAAGTATTTCTTACAAGCCCCAAAGATAAAATAGCAACTTGATGCCTTGAAATAAGAAGCTGGGTATCGCAGCGACACTGCAATTCCTCAAACTTCCTAAAAGTAGCAATTCTCAGGCAGCAAAGGAGATCAGAGCATTCAAAAAACCTATTGCCTTCAAATGATAATCTTTACATCTGACACAACACAGAGGTTTCAATTGCAGTACAGATACCTCTAGGCAGCCGTTTAGGTTAAAACTACTTTATTCAAACATTTCATACTCTTTATTTCAGACAATTCAAATATGAGATTCAGGCATTTCAGAGCTAAAACATGACTTCTTTCAAAAAGCAAAATGCAGTTTAACTTTTTGTATCCTTCTTTTGAATTAACCCTCTAAAATGAACCTAGGGTGAACAATATTTTTGAACTGTTTTTTGAATATTGTTGTTTTATAAACACAGTTATTATTTAAAGAGGCATTTTCTTGGTTCAGCTTTCTGTATAAAGCAACTTAATTACAATTTCATTTGCTCTACTTCAAAAATTTGTGGAATAAATGTTCTTAGTCTGAAACAGCTCTGAGTTTATAGTTTGTGTCATGTAGTTCACATCCCATAGCACATAGTCAAATGTCAGAATCAACTGCTTTTTCCCCTCAAAGTTTTTTTTTTCAGTTCTTTTTACGACAAAGTATGTTTCAGAGTATAAGGACTTCTGCCAAACATAACGTATGGCCAAACATCTAAACCCATCCAATTCTTCAGGAAATCAGACCCTCCAGCCTTTGCATGGGTCTGCTGATTTCCAGTGTCCCAGCACCCAGATATCCAAGAGTAAAACTCTTATTGAAACATGTATCTCACTTTTCTGCTTTCTTGTCAGGCCATTGCCTTGCAGTTCTAGATCAATATGTTTTCTATTTCGTATGTTTCTTCTGAGCTTGAACATGATGCCAGAACTATTTCTAAGAACCAACATTGAGATCCCATTCCCCTACAAGAACTGCCAAACAAGTTCTTCATCTTAAGTCCTAAATGAGCCACATTTATAGTCCCTCTCTTAACTGCACCAAGGGTTTATCACTTGCTGTCCTGTAGGGAAATCTTTGGGTACTTGCAGGCAAATGCAGTGTTCAGACACACAAGCTGTAGATGTCATTCAGACCCATAGCCCATCATCCAGCACTCAGGAGGAGAGTTCCTTGGTAGATCTGCCAATGAAACCAGATTTCTTGGTGCTGCTTTCCTTACTGTCTTCCCTTATGAACAATTAGATTCCAAGGAAATGGAAGCTGAAGTTCAGTGTCCCTGCTTGTGGTGACTTTTCTTCCTGGAAATCCACATCTCCTCACATGTGCCTCTGAGTCCTTCACTGGGTTACTACGTGATGGCTTGAGCACCCACGTCTTCATACAGGGAATACCTCTCTTAGTACTACTTAAAGACCTCTAATTCCATTTCAAGCTTGAAAAATCCTTAACATTTGGTTCACTTCAGTAATTTGATGAGATATTCAAAGATACATGTTTTATGTCAGGGTACTTTTTACTCATCCCATTTTGTTCATCTGTTTCGTACATTGCTTTTCAGTATAAATTGCAATACGGTAGTAGTCTGACTTGTTATGCTCTTAAAGCACTGTATCACTATCTAACACGTATAACAGCTTCCGCCTCTTCAATGGGAGTAATCAGAAGCCAAGCATCCTAAACCTGTTTTCCTGGAGGATACCTGTGCTAAGTTTATCAGCGATTCTCTTGCATCCTTGCTCAAGCTATTTAAAACATACTCTTTGGGGAAAACACTGCTTTCAATTTCTTATATTTTTCTTTTTAGAGCTCAAAATTTGAGGCTTAAAATAAATATTTAAGACCTCCTCAGCTGTTGGTAAAGGCACATGTGCTTTCTAGGGAACCTTGAAGGAACAGCCTTATTTTTGGAATTTTAAGCACTTTTTTTAAAGACACTAATTAAAACGAATATCCATTCAGATTTAACACTGTTCTCTGGGACACTGGTCATCTGCATGTTGCTGATGCCGAACAGGCTTCCAGTGAAAGCAAGAGAAACTGCATCAGCAGTGGCAGCAGAGAAGGAAGAGGAACTGCAGTTACCAGCCTCTGCTCCAGCCTGGTTAGCTGATGCTTGCAGGACTCTGCATAACAGCAGTAATGAGTAGATTCTTCCCTAGGGTTTATCACAGCATTTGTAACTGATCTGTAACACGGTGCATTCCCAGCATCAGGCTGTGGCAGCTTCAGGAGGATAATTCATCGCTACTGCAAATGCAAATGCATGTAAATACAAAACATGAACAAAATGGCTTTGCTTCAGTTTATTCACATGCACTCACTTCCACGGTGTGTCTCCTGTGAGGACTTGATTAACATCTTTGCATGCACATGTGTACTGAGGCACAAAACTTCAAAGGAATATATGTAGTGTGTACTAAATGCAAGTGAAAACAAATGTGCTCAAATGTGTTACCTCCTTTCTGCATACTGCAGTGCGCTCAGAATTTATCTTTCCCTCTCACCAGTGAAAAGTCAGCTCATTATACCTCAACAGCATCGCTTCTCAAATTGCTGCCTACCCAAAACATAATTAGAAAGATATCATCATGCACCGTGGCACGTCGTGATCCGTCGGTATAGCTACAACGCGTCTAGCGGTGTCACCTCTTCTTTACAGAAGGAGAAACCACAGGTGCTGGGTTCTTCCATTTTGCTCGCCATGCACTGCAGTCATTCCTGGTCTGCTAGAAAATTGCATTTGGACATAGGGAAAGGCAGAGATTCTTCAATTTACAAGGGCTGATTTTGAGAGCATAAGGAAATCCAGCCAGTCAAAAGAAAGGCAACATCAAGTACTATGGTGCATTTAAACTGAGTATTTATTTACTCTTTCATCCAGTTTGCCTTTGATCCTTTTTAGGTGACTTATTTTATTTTAAAAATCCTAGCAATTTTCATCAGTTTCCTTTTGTTTTTTGTTCATCTCCTTTCCACTACATACTTCCTTCATAGGGATTGTCTGTAGTTTTGCCGTGACTTCCATCTGTCAGATTCTTTGTTCCATTTGATTTGCACTCTGTTTAATTTTATGTAGACTTTTTCATTACTCTCCTTTTATTCCTTTACTACTTCAAATATTCCAGTCATTTTATCTAACGCTTTCATTTCAGTGTTTTTCTTCCCTTTTGTGTCAGCATCTGCAGTGATTTACACAGCCCACAGTTTCCAGGTATCTGCATCCCGTCATCTTTCACTAATTATTCAGCTTCGTTGCCAACCTGCATTTATAACATCTGCAAATGAAGGCTGGGAAACAGGATTTGACCTATTTGAATATTTGCTTCATGAATTGTTAGGATTGTTGGCATCATTCTTATTGTTTCTTTGATTATGTTTATCATTTATGAAGGTACAGGTTCACTTCACTGTATTATTGCAAATGACCATGATGCTCAGCAGCTAAATTCTAGTACAGGATTGTTTTAACAAAGGTTTCTGACTCCTTAGTTCTGTTAACAACAGAGAAACACAACCTAAGACGTAGTGGACCTGAGATTATAAGAAAACATCTGTTGGTGCGTGTTCAGAAGGTCTAAACGTCTCACCTTAAGTTCAGCCTGGGTGACAACTGCAATGACACCCCTCAGCTAGCTGGCTTTAGGAAGTAACAGGTTTTAAAAGAGATGCATTTACCATCGAGATCGTTCTCGGGTGTTTCTGCTGTGTACCAGTCTGAGGAGGGACCTGTCCCATTCACTGTCATTGCAGCCACCTGGAAACTGTACTGGCTTCCTTTCTCAAGTCCTGTTTAAAAAAAAAAAAACAACCCCCCCCGCAAAAAACCCACATAAATATCATAAAAGAAGAAGAAGATGAAGAAAATAAATTAAGGACAATACCAAAATCTTTAGTAATATTCCACTAGATTTGCCATATATATGGAAACATGTAGAAATGTATATATATTTTGTAGACTTACAGAATGGTTTGGGTTGGAAGAAACCTTAAACTTAACTTGCTGAAGATGCTGTGTACCCCCCAGCAAGTACTTGTTTGTTGTGCAGCCATTAGTTATACAGCCTTCACAAGAGGTCCCATAGGAGCTTTGGTCAAGGGCCTAGGTTAGATGACCAAGTTGAGATTTCACTATTAAAGGCCTTCTTTATAACAGTGTTCTACTTCTGGTTTTATTCAATTTTGAAATAAAATACTGCTCCCCCTCCCAATTATCCTGTTTTATTCTTGTTTATTCTGAATTATCTTGTTTACTCTGAAATACATGATTCAGAATTACTTCTAATTAGCACAGACCATATTTTACATGTGAAAATAAACATAAAGCAGGCCATCTGAGGTGAAATCATAGTTATGCTAAATTCAGTGGCAAAGGTGCCACTGACCTTTAATTTTCTCCCTTGATGCTTTGCTGCTTTCTTAGTTATGTCTTGGGTGTAATACACGAATGCCAATGAATTCACTTTCACATACCAGAATTCACTGTTACCCTTATGATACTCGTTTGGCTACTTTCATTCATCGCAATTATAGTTTTGCTATGATCTACTGTTGCACTTTTTATTCTGTGGGGAGATATTTTCCATTGAAAATCTTGGAAAAGAAACTGGGGAAATCAACATTTTTGCACCCATGAGAACATAGGAGATGTTGACTCACTGGTCTAAAAAATACCAATTGAGGCTTAAGATACCAAACACTAGAAATTCAGCTTCAAATTCATTAATGTTAAGGTCCAGCACACAAACATATGATAAAAACGTTAAGGAAAAAAATTGGTTTTGAAAAAAAGCACTATAAAGATTGTCTTTGTACAACACAATAAATGTTACCTGCCAGCAAAGAAATCAATGCTTCCTTGAAGTGAAAGTATATTTTATTCCCAAAGCATTTAATTCATCAAAACCTTGCAAGCCTGTACCATGTGAACACTGACCTGTGAACAAGTACCAGAGGTTGTTTGGCTCCAGTGTTTCAATCTCACCCCTGCGGGTAGTCTTTCTATGCCGGATTTTATAGCCCGTAATAAATCCATTTTGAGTACCTGGTGGTGGAGGCAACCAGCTAACTTTGATGCTCTGTAAAAGAAGAGATATTATTGTTGCTTTATTCACTTAAAAGATATGACAGAAGTAAAACATAGAATGAGTGGGGGGGGGAAAAAGGAAAATGAAAAAGGGTATGTTTTTGTAATAACAATATGTATTCCACTAAATTATTACTTTAAGATGAAAACCAAATCAAAACTAAAAAGAGTCACACTTACATAAAGAAAACTGTACATTCTATAGCAGTGGATGGCTATGCAGACAATCGATTTGAAGAGTATATTTTCTCCCTTCTGAGGAATTTTTCATTTGAACAGACCACTAGGACACATACGGTACTAGAAAAATCAGCTTCGGGATTGAGTAGACACTGCAACTCATTTCGGTTTTCAGCCCAAAGTGCCAAGGTCACCTCTTTTTGACCACAGGACACAAATATCAACCTGAGTAGTGCTAACAATTCTGTGCCATTTTAGTTCCCCAGACATTCGAGGGATGCTACCCTATCAATATAAAAACTCAAACCTCTTGGGCACAAACTCTTTGCCAATCCCAACATGTAAGAGAATTCTCACTGAGCTTTCTTCAGAGGCAGCAGCAATGCAATTAACCAAGACCAGTCACTTGCTTGTTTTCTAAATGTTGCTTGACAACATTGGATGAGGGATTTCATCTCAGCCTAATCCCTCAAACAGAAACTATCCCTTCTTCATGAGTCCATCCCACCCCTGCACGGCCAGACACTACTCTCTGCCACCTCTCCCCTTGGAGAAAGGCCTGAAGGAATTTTGTCCCTGTGATCCATAAGCCAATCCATGTACTTGCCATTCCTGCCACTGTACCTTGTACCTTCCCTCTTGTGTTAGGCAGAGGGAGCACAGCAGGTCTGTGTGCTGCTGCAGCAATCTTTTTCTTCTCAACCCTGTTCATTTCCCAATAAATCCCAACACTCAGTGGTGCTTTTACCACTACAGATCATTGTGCTTCCAGACTTTTAACAGCCAGACCTTCTTCCCAAGCAGCAGCAGCTAATTCAGGGCTTAGCAACGGGTACTCATGTTTTTACTGCATCACTTTCTATTTAACCACACGGAATTTCATCTACTCTTTTATCTGCCATTCACTCAACATTGTATGGATTTTTAGCAACCAGCTTCCGTTCATGGTACACTAAATTGCTAAAGCTTGTTTCCTCCCCCTCCATCCTGTGCACTAGCCAACGTGGATCCCAGCACACATCACTGATGGCTCCACGTCAGCACTCCTCAGCCAAGCCAACACCTCCCTCCATCCTTTGCTCTTTATCACATTGGTTGTTTATCACAAAGGGATCTTTTTACTTACACTGCATTTCTGCAGGAGCCTTTTGTAAGTGATCTTATCAAAAGGCTTTAGGAAACCCAAGCCAGTACTATCAACTGGATCTCCTTGCCCATGTGCTGAATGATTCCTTCAAAGGGCTTTAATAGGCATTTGAAGCAGGACTTCCTTCCACAAAAGCTTTATTGATCCCTGCTCGTCATATCATGTTCATCCATATGCCTATTCACTCTAGTCTTTATTACAGTTTTTATCATCTTGTCCAGGAAAAGAACACCAGATTTATTGGGCTGGACTGATAAGAGAGCTGATACTGTACATCAACATTTGTCTGCTGGAACAACCTGGGCATTAGTTGTTCCTTGAAAGTCTCTAGTCCTCTGAGTGTTTTTCCTCAGCATGATAAAAGTTATTCAGGGCATTAAGAGTTTGTCATGGAGCAAGGCCTACCATTGCACACTTGTGCCTATCTTATCTCTTACAGCACTGTATTACAAATTTTTAGACAAAGGGAAAAGTCAACCACATCACAGTGGATAGTGTTTGACCAAATACAATTTATTGCCATCATTGAGTTGCTTAGTCCCTGCATAAATATGTTATAGCACATATCCAATTAATTATTGCAATAGAAAAATCAATTTTGTGCATATACTGCCCAGTGATTTATTGTTACAATCAATTATACATTTCAAAATCAATACTTCAGGGTTTCATTGCTGAGTGAAATAATGCTGAGTTTTTTGCATTAGGGCAGAACAAACTCCATTTTTCAAACCACAGAGTGATTGCTTTAGAAACAGATTTGGTCACTTTGCATATTGAAATTGTCTACATATAAAACGTTTATGGGAGACTGCAAACACACAGAGAATGGCTTTAAAACATCTTAGTGTGGCAGCTCTGAGGAGATCTACAGGTAACTCACTGGTTGATACTGGTGCCCTCCCAGTTCTTCTGATGTCTGCATGACATGGAGCCACACTGTCATCATGGACACCTCAACATCTCTCTATATTCCAGCCCAGTTATGAGGAGAAGACGCACTGACTGCCCCATTTCACAGATAGAGGAGAAAGCAGGGCATTTGGATAGTTTTTTTCAGAGGAGGGAAAGAAACAACAACTCCATCTTTCACCTGCCCCTTCCAGTGGCTGATTTTTCTCATTGGGAAAACTTTTCTTCTTGTGTTCAGTCAGGATCTCCTCAGGAGTAACTTATGCCTGCCATCCGTCGTCTTTTCTATGTGACTCCTTGTCAAAAGAGTTTCTATCTATCTTCTTTGTAGCCACCCTTTAAATACTGGAACAATACTAAAGCAATAGACCGGCAATTGGGGTGGCTCAATCCCTCCATGGGCCAGTCAGTAACCATTTAACAGACCAAAAGATGGCATAACCATTTTGGAAATGGAGCAGGAGTGGCTCCAGCTTCTCTTGAGCCATTTCTTCATCAGGTTGCACAAGCCTGGGCTTCTCAGCGCAGGATCCTGACCAGGCAGCATTGGTCCTACCCTTCTGAGCGGAGAAAATCCTGAAGGCTTCCAAAGGAAGGGCACGCTGGTGTAAGTATCACAGTGTCCACACTTGTTCTCCATGTGTGCCCAAATATGTGCCCAAACACAGCAGAGTACAAAGCCTGTTGCACACAGGCATACAATTGCACGTGAGATTTATACATGTGCAGCTTTTAGGGATATGACGAGCTATTGCAGCCATATCTGCAGCCTGAACTTGACAGTAATTTGGTTTAAAAAGAAGGAAATGAGTTCCAGCCAAAGCATCGGAGCACTTGGAACTCCAACACCTGCATGCGCTGAGCAGTTTTTTCAAGACCTTGTCTTCTGCCTTGAAGTCAAGAGTGACCGCACTGCTCTGCACAGAAGGGCTCACAGAAGCAATGGGTTTGATCTAACACTCCAGGTAGAAAAAATAAGAAGTTCCTTATGATTAGAGGAAAAGGCTGGCTCTTTACAGATCCACCTAAAGCTGTCACTGTAGCAGTAACAGTTCACTTTCACCTTAACCTGGTATCCATGGACACCACAACGATGCTTTTTATCAATAGTACTTAATATATGACTCGTTGCTCCATGAAAATCAATAACTAAGGCTCTGACAGGCTTCTTGTTCTTTCTTCTGCTGAAAGAGAGCAGTAATGACTACTGCACTATTCCTTCACACTTCATCCGAGAGGTAACCAACAGGAAGAAAACATTTCCTTTCTATTATACCAGAATTCCTAAGGAAACCATAAAAGGAAAACAGCTTCAAGAGGATTGTAAGAATCCGTTATTCCTGCTTGGAATGCAATGTAGAAAAAAGTACTATAAAAGGCTGCGGGCCACCTCCATTTGTTGAAATGAGCCTTCTTCAACAGGAGCATGGTCCTTTCCTTGTGCCATTAGGAAATCACTGTTGAGCAGCTTGGCTTCAGCTTGGATGTCTAACATTGCCTTCACTCAGAGCTGCAAATGCCCTGGACATTGCAAACGGCCTGTTATAGACTGCAAAATACACGGCATAATCCCTCCTAGTTCAACTAGATTTGATAAACTTTTCCTGGGAGACCAGATGTTGGCCCAGTTGAACTTACTAAACCTGCGTCGAAACTTTAACATCTTCCCTGTAGTTTCCAAAACCATAGGATATTTCCATTCTCTCATTTTCATGATTATTGAGTACAATAAGAAAAAGATGACATATTATCTGTACATTGATTGGAAAAGTGGAGCATCAGAAATCTCATGAATCTTATCAAATCAAAGTTTCTGGATGTGCAAGGACCATCTGTCAGTTTGTTTTATCAATAATCTTCTGGGCATAAATATTCATTAGCAGATATTTGCAAACATTCATTCAGTTATGGTAGCAAAGGACTAGTACTTGCTTCATGAAGTCTCTCTGTTGCACTTTGTCTCTGCACATATGCTTTTCTTCTGCTTTTTTCTTTATTAAGTCACTCTACATTTCTTTCCTTTTTTAATTTTTTTTTTCCCCAATGGAAGTTCAATTATCTGCAATCAAAGCAGCTAGACACACAAATCAAGAATTTGATACAATTATAGAATCACAGAATCACAGACTGGTTTGGGTTGGAAAGGACCTTAAAATCAAGCAGATCCAACCCCCTCCCATGCTGGAGAAGATCTCCAAAACTCAACAAGATCTTAAGTAAAGGTAATCATGTGCCTTAAGGGTGTGGGGTGTTCTGCCTGAAAAGTGAAGCTAAACTAAATCAATTTGGGAATAACACCTCTGTAAATACACTGGTGCATGTCGTGAGCTGCCAAAAAGCACAGGGATGCAATGGGATGCAAGGCATCTCACAGAGCAACTAGCACTTTTAGAGGGTTTGGCAGGAGCACCCAGGATAAAAGTCCACTGGAGATTTTACATATTTGGAAGAAATTTTGTGGCTGACATTCCCTATCTAGCAGCTAATAGTGGACAGTACACTGAATGCTTGGCTCATCACAGGTTAACTTGGTTTAAAAAACAAAGCCTGAACAGTGCAAGGCAGGGGAAGGGAAACTGGAATAAGAGTCTGTGGTGAATTTATGTTGATTAAGCATCTAGAACACAACTTATTTGTAAAAAGTTGGAAAACGTTCTAAAATTTAGTAACTTGGTTTAAACCCACTCCCGCCTCTTCTTGCCCTCCCCCTACTCCTGGGGGAACGGAGAGGAGAATTGAAAAGAAATGCAACT